ATTAGCCAGGCATGGTGGTGCATACCTGTAGTTCCAGCTACTTGGAAGGCTGAGGTGGAAAGATCGCCTGAGTCCAGTGCTGAGGCTGCAGTGGCCGTGAGCATGCCACTGCCCTCCAGCCTGGGCAATAGAGTGCGACTCCGACTCAATAAAACAACAAAAGGGACACAGTTTTGCTCTGTCACCCAGGCTGGAGTGCAGTGGTGCAATCATGGTTTACTTTAGCCTCCAACTCCTGGGCTCAAGACATCTTCCTGCCTCAGCCTCCTGAGTTAACTGGAACTACAGGCGTGTACCATCACACTAGCCCAGAGCAAACTCTTTACGTGCCTTCTCTTCCTTTTACAACCCTAGGAAGGAGATACTGATAATAGCTCATTTTACAGATGAGAAAACGGAGGCTCTGGGAAGGGAAGCACTTGCTCACAGCCAGAACACGCTGGACCTGGGATTAAACGCCAGCTCTACCTCACATCAAGGTCCAAGCTCTTACCCACTGCACCACACTGGACTACCCTGTGGGGACTGGTTTGAAGGGAGGAGTGCAGTCAGAGGCCGGTGGGTCTCCATCGCTTAACCTTCACTTGAGCTCTCTGTGCACTGCACAGATGCCGACACTTGCCCTCCCATCCTGGCACAGGCAGTCCTAGCCCACTTGGCCCCCTTCCGCTGACTCCCGCTCGACTTACCCAGGCCTCCCCCCCACCCCGCAGCATCCTTCTCTCTCCCCTTTCAGCGTCATTAACACCGGTGTCCACTACCCCACAGCCACAGTAGTGTGAGGAGTAACGTCAGGGACACTGTGGTCAGGCCCAAGATCAAACCCCAGTTCTGCCACTTACCACCTGTGTGTAACCTTAGGCAAGCTCCTCACACCCCTCTGAGCCCCAGGCTCATCACCCATAAACTGAGATGACAGACCGAACCTTGCCTGGTCTTTGGGAAGGTTAGAGCTGCTCTGGGGAGCAACAAGCTCAGCACCCTGCAGGTGCCCCATGTGGCAGAAGAATGGAAGCTCTGCAAGAAGAGTGGAGACTGAATTCTTTTTTTTTTTTTTGAGTTGGAGTCTCACTCTGTCACCCAGACTGGAGTGCAGTGGCTGCTCCCAGCCACCGCAGCCTCGACCTGCTGGGCTCCAGCAATCCTTCCGCCTCAGCTTTCCAAGTAACTGGAACTACAGGCGCACGCTACCACGCCTGGCTGATTTTTGATTTATTGTAGAGATGAGGTCTTGCTAAGTTGCCTAGGCGGGTCTCAAACCCACGGGCTCAGGCAATCCACTCATCTCAGCCTCCCAAGGCGTGGGATTACAGGCTGAGCCACCGAGCCCGGCTGAAGAGACTGAATTCTTATTCCCATTACAAAGATGAGGCAGGTGAGGCCTAGTCACAAGGATGGTTACCATTCTGTCTGAGGGGTCACCTAGCACCAGCCGCTTTGCTAGTGCTTTAGGTGAAGGATCTCAGTTTTATTTTTTTGAGTTGGAGTCTCACTCCATCACCCAGGCTGGAGTGCAGTGGCTCGCTCACAGCCACCCCAGCGTCGACCTGCTGGGCTCAGGCGATCCTTTTGCCTTAGACTTCCAAGTAGCCGGAACTAGAGGTGCTCACTACCACGCCCAGCTAATTTTTTGATTTATTGTAGAGACGAGGTCTCACTATATTATCCAGGCTGGCCTCGAACCGGCAGGCTCAGGCAATCCCCTCTCCTGGGCCCCCAAAGTGCTGGGATTACAGGCTTGAGCCACCACACCCAGCCAAAGGATCTTCTTGAAAACAGTATGGCTGGGCGTGGTGGCTCATGCCTGTCCCAGCTATTCAGGAGTCCAAGGCAGGAGGATAACCTGAGCCCAGAGGTAGAGGCTATGGTGAGTTGTGACTGTGTCACTGCACTCCAGCCTGGGCAACAGAGTGTGACTCCAACTCGAGACACATATATTAAAAAAGAAAGAAAGAAAGGAAAAAAAAATATATATATATATATTTTTTTTCGAGTCAGAGTCTCACTCTGTCACCCAGACTGGAGTGTAGTGGCCGCTCCCGGCTACCGCAGCCCCGACCTGCTGGGCTCCAGCGATCCTTCCACCTCAGCCTTCCAAGTAGCGGGAACTACAGGTGCGCGCTACCACACCCGGCTAATTTTTGATTTATTGTAGAGATGAGGTCTCGCCAAGTTGCCCAGGCGGGTCTTGAAACCGCGGGTTCAGGCAATCCACTAACCTCAGTTTCCCAAAGGTGCGGGATTACAGGCTGAGTCACCGAGCCTGGCTAGGTTCTCATTCTTACTTGTCAGATAAACTGAGATAAACCCAAGTTCTGTCACTTGGCAGATGTTTACAAAATATTTCTTTTTGGCGGAAATAATGCCATCACCGGTAAGCTTGTTAGCAGTACAGAAAGTCAGAGCATGAATAGTTTCTCATGCTTGCCATTCCAGCTCTTTACGAACCTGAGGCAGAAGGATGTATGGAGCACAAGAGTTTGAGACCAGCCTAGGAAATGTAGCCAGCCATCATCTCTGCCCCATATAAAAATATTAGCTTGATGTGCTTGTGCATTTTAGTACACCCAGTCACTCAGGAGGCTGAGCGGAGTGGATCTGTTCAGCCAAGGAGGTAGAGGCTGTAGTAAGCTTTGATTAAGGAACTGCATGCCAGAAACGATGACAGAGACCCAAACTAAAAAAAAAAAAAAAAAGCGTCTGGCCTCATGGCTCAACCTGTAATCCCAGCGCTTTGGGAGGCCAAGGCGAGTAGATTGCCTGGGCCCACAGGGTTAAGACCCACCTGCACATCTTGGTGAGACCTGATCGCTACAATAAATTAATAATTAGCTGGGCATGGTAGTGCCTGTCTGTAGTTTCAGCTACTTGGAAGGCTGAGGAAGAAGGATCACCGGAGCCCATCAGGTCGAGGCAGCAGTGGACTGGAGCGACCACTGCACTCCAGTCTGGGCGACAGAGTGAGACTCCAACTCAAAAAAAAAAAAAATGCGGTATTTCCATTGTCATAAGAGTTAGAACTTTTCACTCATTTCTCCTGCAGTTAACAATTCTGCCCATAGCACTTGGTAAGTATGTCTTGTTTTCAGGGTATGTTGACATTCGGGGA